ATCTCAAGAACGTCTTCTCTGACGTCACGCCGAGCCAACAATTCCTCCTCGAGATCTACCAAAGAATCAAAGCGCAGGAGTTGCGGACGGGCGCCGACCACGTGACCCAAGTGGCCAAAGTGCAGTCTGCGGTCATCCCGCCGTCGCGCGGCGTCTCGATTCCGCCCCTGTGCGTCGAGTGGCGTCGTCTCGTCTGTTACTGTCGTCTCTACGAGATCCGCGACCAGAACAAGAAAGAGTCACGTGATCGCCACCAGAGGGAAGTCTTCCTCTTCAACGACCTCTTACTCGTCACCAAACTGTCGTCGCGCGCCAAGAGCGTCCAGATGCCGGAATACGTGTTCCGCGAGACCTTCTCTTTGGAGGCCATGTCCGTCTCGCTCTTCTCCTCCCCTTTCCACCGCTTTGGGATTTCCCTCGAACGCCGTCTCGACGCGCAGCGCCCTCTAGTGCTGTTCAACGCGCGCAACGAATTGGACCAAAAGCGCTTCTGCGACGACTTGAGGGAAAGCATTCTTGAGGCGCGCGAAATGGAAACCATTCGAATCCACAAATCCAACTCTTTGCTCACTCTGGAGAACGCGACGCAACAATCCAACAGCGGTGGTCAGCAGCCAATCAGGAGGAAGTCCTCGTCGGGCTCTCTCGACTCGGGCCTCTCCCTGCCGTCACGTGACCACTCGCCGCAGACGCAGGCGCAGAAGAACAATGTCGTCGACTGATATTAAGGCTTTATTTGTAAATAAAACAGATTTTATTCTTTCTTCGGACACGTGTTCAAAGTGCGCGCGCTCTCCGCCAGGTTCTTCGCCACCGTCTGCGTCTCGCGCGCCTTTATGCGGATCCTGTTGTTGACGTCGCGCACGGCGTCGGCCACCAGTCGCGCGCTCGCCGCCAGTTGTTGCGCGTGAAGCGACACCTGTTTCGCGCTCTCCGCCAACTGCAACGCCTTCTCCTGGAACTCCTTCAACAGTTGGCGCGCGACGTCGCCCTCACTCTCCACTTGCAGACGGCGCGCGCTTTCCACCAACTGTTGCGCCAATCGCTGGGTTTCGCGCGCCGAGAACTCTCTCTGGCCAGTGTTGGGCGCGAAGGGCGGGAACTGCGGTCCGCCAATCGGGACCAAGTACTCGACAATGGGTTGCGACGCAGAGAGCGCGAGAAACGCAGAGAACAAGAGCAGAGACGCCATTTTGCGTGGCCTTCACTCCAAGGCGTTCACTTTCTCGAGATTCAAAACATTATTGCAAAACTTTTATTTCTCTTTAAAACCGGATTTCAATTCAAAAATTCATTTCTTTTTATAAATTTTCGCCAAAGAGTGGAAAGAATGTCCCAAATGCCCTCCTAAGCCGTGGTAACCATGGTAACCACCGCCGCCGTAGTGGCCCACTCCCACGTACTTGACCACCGGCGCGTAATGACCGCCGTATCCATGGTAACCCCCGGAATACAAACCGCCGAGTTTGCCGCCATAACCGCCGTAACCATGGTAACCGGGGTAGTATGAGTGTCCGTAAATGGAGCCGCCGTAGCCATGGTAACCGAGTTTGCCGCCGTATCCGCCGTAACCATGGTAACCGCCGTAGTATTTGGGCCTCACGTAAGAGACGAGCACTTGCGGAACGATCACGCGCTTCACGACTGTGGGCGCCAACCCGTAGCCATGGTAACCCAGTTTACTGCCGTAGCCGTGGCCGCCGTAGCCGCCCAGATAGCCGCCATAGTGGCCGCCGTAGATCTTGGGCGAGTAGTGGCGCGCGTAATAATGCGGAACTGCGGCGCAGAGCGCGACGAAAGAGAGAAGAATTGGAATCTGAAACAGGAATGAATGTTAACTTTGAGAGAATCGAGAACTTGAAGCAAAACTCACCAAAAGGCGCATTTTGTCAACAATGCTGTGAAAGCGCGCGTTCGCAGCCTTATATGGACGCGTCGTGTCCTCCAAGAGGACTAATTGTCTTCTCCTTGAGATGCAAATGAGAGAAACGCCCGAAAAATAAACAAAACTTTATTAAAATCTCTGAAAATACAATCATTATTTGGGAACATTCGGAAGCGCGTGTTGCGGTGGCGCCCCCTGGTGCACGGGCACCTGCTGGTGGACAGCCTGCTGTTGGTGGACAGGAGGCTGCTGCGCCTGCGGGTGTTGTGGAATGGCCTGCGGGTGCAGTTGTTGTTGGCCTTGGGGCGGAAGCGCGTGTTGACCTTGAGGGTGTTGCACCTGTTGATTGGGTTGATACTGCGGTTGGTTCGGGTGATACTGTTGTTGTTGCTGTGGCGCCATCTGCTGGTGAGCCAACTGCGGCTGGCCGTGCTGTGGATACTGCTGCTGCTGCTGTGGCGGCGGTTGCCCCTGGTGACCATATTGTTGTTGCTGGTACTGCTGCTGCTGTTGGTTGAGCGCGTGGTGTTGCTGTTGTTGGAACTGTTGCTGTTGGTATTGTTGCTGCGCGTGCAGCTGGGCGTTCGGCTGGAAGTGCTGCACAACGACAACAATCAGTTATTCGCGTTCAACGCAATGCGACTCTACTGACCTCTGGCGGCGGGTAGTGATAGCCCTGGGGGTAGTATTGGGGCACATATTGTTGGTACGCGTCGTACTGCTCCTGGTGCTG